TCACGTTTACATCAGTTTCCTTCCAGGAAAAGTCCTTTTAAAATCGGTCTAGCCGTTTTGGTAACACGAAACAAACACAGATTTGCGGCTGGGCAAAAATATTAACAATTTATTCCTGGTTAAGAAATTATACCATGAACATTACAAATATTTATGTATTTGAGTCACATTTAAAACTTTTTCAAGTTAGTCCATGAATATATATATCTATCCATTACGATGAATTTATTTTCTTTATGTTCTTGTTCTTTATTATATAAAGATATAAATCTATGTATAAATCATTGTGACAAAGGAAGCTAAAGCTGATAAAACCTGGGCGTCACATAAATACTTGAGACTATAATAAATATCATTACTTACCATGTTGGCTATGAACCGGGATTTTTTACGGGACTGCAAGAATTTATCATGCATTTATAAAGACTGTCTGTCGTTGACGCGACATGTATGTATTAAACATACGGTAATAATTAAATTAGAAGTTAAATCTTACTTGTTCTTATTGTAACGTACTGATGATTCACATTCATTTAAAAAACACTCCTTGTAAGGCAAAGAATAGTTCGCGCCTTGGCCTGAGTCCGCTAGTATTTCTAAACTGATTAAGTGTACGCGCCTTTTATGTTTCGCTTTTATGAATGAGATATTATGCTAATTGTCTTAGTTGTAATGTTACGTAAAATCTTAAAATTCAAGGTCAGTAAAATAGGTAATGTTTAAAAAATGCATCAATATTTTTAGGTCATAGTTTTAGGATGTAATTTTCACATTACAGAAAATCTAGCGCCGTCCGAGCTGAAGAAACTAAGAAATAAACAGAGGAAAGCGAAACGTAAAGCAGAGCAAGAGAGTGCGCTGGCCGCTCAAGTTCAGGTATATAAAAATACTATGTATTAAGTATATAAATAATTTGCTAATAGTAAATGACAGGAGTGTTCAGATAATAGTTGAAATTTTGAATTGAATACAGCGTCATCTAAACAAAATTGGTGTAACTAAATCTTAGTCACAGCTAATATAGTAAAACTTGTTTAACTGTTATTAATATTAAACTTTTACTGATTCAACGAACAGAGTTATAAATATACTAGCTGTAGCCCGCGACTCCGTCCGCGCGGGATTAAAAATAGATGTTGGCCGATTCTCAGACCTACTCAATATGCTCACAAAATTTCATGAGAATCAGTCAAGCCGTTTCGGAAGAGTATGGGAACGAAAATTGTGACACGAGAATTTTATATAAGATCTCATGAGATGTAACTTTTTTCCTAATAGTTATTTAGTGTTATATTGTATAACGTTGCAGGTGAAGCGGGAACAACACCACAAGGCGCGGCAGCAGCAGGAGCAGGGCGACCCAGAGGCGCCGCAACTTGACGAGCTTGTACCTGACAAACTGGCCAGGGTAATCAACATTTAAAAAGTTTTATATCTACTCTAACAGTTAAAATCTTATCCGAGGATAGTTTCGGAACCTATTCAATGCAATTTTTCCTATTTATTATTATACTATCTCCATAATAGTGTCAAGTATGATACTACGTCTACTCAATTGTATGACTGATAAAATTGTTTGCTTTCCAATTACAACGATTTTCGTCTAATGTGATCAGCACTTGACTTGCAATCTGCAGGTCCTGGGTTCGAATCCCGCCATGTACCAATGTGTTTTTCGATTTTCGATTTACATATGTACATTTATCCGACGTTCTTACGGTGTAGGAAAACATCGTGATGCAACCTGCACATATCTGAGAAGAAATTTAAAGATATGTGTGAATTCAACCAACCCGCACTTGGCCAGCGTGGTTGACTATGACCTAATCACCCTTAAGTTAGGGTAGGCTCCGAGCCCCTCGGGGGGGACGTATAGTGAGCTGATGATGTTGTTGATCTGTGATTGTCTCAGACATTGGATACAGCAAATACTGCATTTAAGCAAGGTATTTTATTTATATCAATATGTCTTCACAGAATATAATTGTATGTACGTTACTATGTTCCAGGCGGAGGACCCGTTAGAGCAAGCAATAAAGTTCCTTTTACCGCTGCGGACTCTCGCCGCGGATAGAATAGAAACACATTTAATGGCCTTCGAAATATACTTTAGGAAAGGTAACTATATCGATTTCAGGAAATCTACATATATAAAAGAATGTCGTGTTACTTACACTATTTATAATTCAAGAACGACTTTACCGATATGTCTGAAGATTGGTGAGGAGGTAGATTAGAGCCAGGAGACGGACATAGAGTACTATTTATTCTTTTCGAATTTATACATCGAAAAGCTGCTTTTTATTTAACATGGGATTCTGATGCAAAAATCTCTGTACAAAACATATCACATTTCGGTGTCAGAAAGTTACGGTTAGATAGGTACTTATGTATTGTGTGTATGTGTTTGGTAAATATTGTAAACTTGTTTTTCAGAAAAGCCGCTGCTGATGCTGCAGAGCGTGAAGCGCGCGTGGCGGCTGGACAGCGGGCACCAGCACCTGCACGACTGCCTGCTGCGCTTCCACGTGTGGCTGGACGCGGCCAGGCCCAGCCTCAACCAGCACGTCGCCGCTGTACTGGACTCTGAGACGCAGCAGGTCTCATCATTTTACCATCAGATGTTAAAATACAAGAAACTTTTTTTTATATATCATTACAACTGTGAATTTTTTTTGTTGTACTCTTTCCAATGCGCAATACCACTGGACTTAGTATACAGTCTTAAGCTGGCTATCCAGGCAACATATTTATATTGCTTAAACTAAAATATACTCAATAATTATAAGTTTTTTTTAAGCATAAGAAAGTGTTTATATCTATACATTTATTAATATTGAAGTGTTTTAATGTCTAGAAAAAAAAAATATTTTGTACAAAATTTTCGTTGTTATTTCCGGAACGGCTGAACTGATTTTGACTAGACTTTTACTAGAAGGTACGCACATATGCGTCGACGGAGTCGGGAACGACAAGCTAGTATTGTTATAAAATGTAACCGCGTGTGTGCAGATGATGCAGGGTCGCAGCGCGGTGCAGATGGCGGAGCAGTTCATGTCGGGCGCGGCGCAGAGGTCGCAGGCGGCGGCGCTGTGGGGCGCGCGCGCACTCGCCCGCCTCCTGCCTCACCGCACGCAGCAAGCGCTCGCGCACGTCACCGCCATGCACTATCCTGATCTTACCATTGAGGTCATCTACATCTCTTCTATTCATTCTAAATACAACATGGCCGCCGCAACAATATGGCGGATCACTTGGTCACATGAAAAATATTTACTGGTAGAATAACCAAAGTTAACTAAACACGGGAATTGACCTTTTTATAATATACTGTTTAATATTATACTATTTTTGCAGTAAGCGATTTTCGGATTTGTCTATGTTTCGTTCGGTTTTCGGTTGCACTATTACCATCGCAAATAGAAGTTTAAAACATAACAGTAAATCGAAATGTTCATTACTGTGTAATAAACAAAATATTATATTCCAGGGTTGCGTGGAAGTGTTAGATAGTCTGAGAGAAGGTGACTTCGGACCTTGCGAGAGTGAGATAGAGCAATACATAAGCGCGTGTCACACGAGGTTCCCGTACGCGCTGGCGTTCAAGCCGCCCGGCGCCGCTCAGCCGGAGGAGGACGTGCCGCTGCAGCCGAAGGAGCTCGCCAACTGAGGCCCGCCGACTGCTGTGGGTGATTACGTCCTCGGTTACCTGGAACTGCCCCCCACTGCAGTGATAATCGGTTTTGTTACCGGCTATGACTAATTCGGATTAACAAATAATTTTGTTTAAACATTTGTCATTTCTTTCTAGTTATAAATGACTGAGGTTTTCGTATCTATTCAGTAGATATTCTTTATATTGCATGTGATAGGGTTGTGACGTAAATAAGGCTCTTCGTACACGAGGCAATTTAAATCTTCCAAATATGGCGATTTTAGTTGTTAAGCGACTTGCGCAATACAACGTCAGACACAGGTCACCGATTTTTTTTCTTTAAGCGAAAAAAAACACGAAAAAAAATCTACAGTTGAAAATTTCACTATGGCCGTCCTGTGTAGACTCGCGGTGACATTTACGTTGCCTAATGTACGAAGAGGCTAAGGGAGCTGTCAAACGGATGCGGCAACGCAACTCAGTTTAATGTTATATAGCGTTAAATTTCATCTATTGTCATATAAAGACTGATTAAGCTATTTGCGTTGCGACTTTTCGTGTGTCGAAATTATAGTAGATTTGCGCCCGTGTGGCATGTCTCTTGTGACAATGAGCCAGTGATTCGATATAAATACTACAAAACCGAATATTGCTGCAAATGATCGCCCACAAAGTCCACACTTTATTAGGAAATTTTGGCCTGACTTCTTCCTCTCAACTTGCGCTAGTTAATACAAAATTCTCGTATCGGAAATAAGTTTATTTTTCTTGTTTTTTTTTGTACTGTTTGTAAAAATATACTTTAAGTAACATAATTTCCCAATATATAAATTGTCATGTCTTAATGCGATAGCAAAACGGTAGTTTTGCCTAAAGATCAAAAAATTTATGAAATTTCAGTCAAAATTGAGTCACAAATTAAATGAATTACTCAAAAGTTAATATTTTTTTAAATCCACTTGCATTTTATTATTTTAATTTTCATCACAAAATTTTGGATTTAATAGGTTTTTTTAAGTTTTCTCATACTTTATTTTTACAATTAATTCGTTCCATTTTTAAAATTTATTAATATTGGAGATTTACAGCCAATGCAGAAAAAAAATACCAAATATTTGTTTAAAATTCAGTTTATAAAGTAAATTACTTTTTGAAATTGTGGATTTACTCTATTAAAACAGTTGGTAAATAGTTGAAAAAACTTTGCAAATATTTTAGGAAAGATTCTCAAGTGACAACTCACAGATATAAACAATGGCAGAATTCGAAATATTGTTTTATACCATTTCAATGTAAAAATAATCTCTTATCTGTGTTTTTTTAACAAAGAGAATTTTTTTTTGTACCATCTGATTTATTTTATAAATTAATGTGTGGCCTCTGAAGTGTTCAATAAAAATGCAATTTAACAAAATGTAATTTAGGATTCGTAATTTAATGACTGTTCTTAGATGTAAAAAAATAAAATAAAATAAAATTGTGTGGCAATTTAATAAAGACGAACCTCAAGCAATATTTGACAAGTGAAGTGAGGTACGCTTTGTAAATAATTATTATTTTTAAGTTTTTACTGTACAATATCATTGGAACACCAGATCTATGCAAGTCTGTCTAATTAAATTACACTGTGAAAAACGTTTGAGTCGTTAACAAACGGGACTTAAACACTATGATTTTTTTATTTTATTCTCTGTAGATATTTGTAAAGTTTGGACAATAATTATATAATTAAATACTCCGAATTGTAACCGTGTGCACTTTAGTTAGACAAATTATTTTCCACTCCGTGTGAACCCTTTTAATTGAAAAATGTATGTAAAATTGTGCATTTGACTTCTTTTTCTTTGGTTTATTTATAAAATGTAAAAAAGTGACTCACCCGAGAACACAATTCATTTCAATAAGGATACAAATTCTGTTTTCAATTTTTATATTTTGTAAAAAATCTTTTATTTGGGACACAGCCGTTGATTTTCTGTTTGGTTGTATGATTGGAGTATTTTGTGCCCACGTCAACTTGTACATAAAGTAATAAAATTTTATTTTACAAAATTATTCATATATTTGTTTCATTTAATTAAAATATGATCTCTTATGTTTAAGGCATAATTATGTCAAGTAAATATAAAAATACAGTAACATTAAAAATATCACATATGACAATATTCCCTATCTCCGAGCCCCTCAGTGGGGACATATAGTGAGCAATGTGACAATAAAGTCATTTGGATGGACTCATGTTTTCCCAATCGATGCCTGTGAAATTGATCACAATTTTATCATTCTTTGGTTTGAATTGCCTGAAAAAAAAAACAATAATTAGTGCATATATTTCTTAAATTCTACTAATTTAATACCACTCACAATAATTTTCTAAAAAGGACAAAATGTTATTTATACTTTCATTATATATGTGAAAGTAGACCTAGACTAGAATGGTTATCTAGAAATTTCACTTATGTTTAAATTTAATAGTGAACTATGTGAGAAATTCAAAGACATGGTGAAGTCAACCCAAGACCACCTTGCACTGGGCTACTGTGATTGACTATGGCCTAGTCACCTATAACTTATGTATGCTTCAAGCCCCTTAATGTCTATTACTATGACTCACATCTGAATATAATTGATATAGATTCAGATATAACGGTTGATAGAAATGTATGGAGTAGTACATATTGTGCCGACCCTCCATCGGGATAAGGATAGGTTGGTGATGAATGTCATATCTTTGTTATTAATGATATAAATATTCCACTCAGATGAATAATATTATGATTATTTTTCTATTGATCTCCATATAATAAGAAACTATGTGAAAAAATACAAAAATAAATATACATACCAATATTTAACTCCGGCAGCATCAAACATCCTTTTAGAAGCAATATATGTTGGTTTGTGGCCATTCTTGTCTGATAAATATACAACCTCAGTGATACCTGATTGTATTATAATCTTCGCACATTCATTGCAAGGAAATAATCCAACATAAATTATACAATCTTTGACATCCGCTGAATTTTTGTTTACAATTGCATTCATTTCCGCATGACAAACTTAAAAGAACCATTATGTTAACTTTAATAACAAAGTTGATATTAGAATAAGTCACAATATTGTAATCAAGTTAATATTAAGTTTAAGATAAATTACATACAGTATCAAAAATATAAGGGAAAGTTCAAGGGAACACATTTTTCTCACTTATGGATGTTTCTCTTGAGCGAGTATTTCACTTATGCAGGTCATTCATCAGACTTGGCAGACTGACTATAGAGGTTTCCACTTATCCAGGTTCAACTTTACATCATTTGAAAAAACATATCAGTTTAGGTGATTAAAACTCTAGATTGTAATTGAATGCCATATAAATTGCCTCATTAACAATTTATTAGTGGTTAAAAAAAAGCTATTAGTTACTACAAATGCAACCCATATCTTTGATATTGTTTCATTACATTTAGCGTAAATTACTATACAGATCTATGTTAATTTTTTGTTTTTTATATACATACCATACAAATATTTACTATCTAATGGTGATGGTGTATTCTTTCCCCAAGGAAATTCATCATCATCACATCCTATTGGCATACCATTGTATCTAGAAAAATTAAATCACTATTAAAAATTAATTTTTTTCATATGCATGTCCTTTTTTATACAATCCATACTTTATTCCATCTTCCATGAACTTGTAGCTTTTCACATTTATTGCTGTTACCTACTACACCAGCAAATAGGTTTTTTTTATCGAATAAATGGTCAAATAAACATCTAATCGTCGAATGTTAATTTATAACAGATGCGTACAAACAAAATACCAAATCAATTACACATAGATTTATTATAGTCAGTTAGCCTATTTGTTATTTAACTTACCCAATTCCAACAATCTTATTATCTCTGTTTACAACGCAAGCTCCAACTTGAAAACTTGGATCTTTACTGCGTTTAGCTGCTAAGAATGCCGTTGCCATAAAATATTCCTGCCAATCTATATACCCACTTCGTTTAGTTTGTAAATTCTGACTGTAATTGAAAATTATCTTTAACACTCACATATTCATCTGTATAACACTACACATTTTTGTAGAACATACTCATTAATAGACAGATTTTTAGTCTCTTCGGTTAGATCCATACTTGTTATTTACAATTTATTTAAAGTAACTGGCTCTGATAAGAGTAATAACTGAACTGTTACTGTTTAGCTGATGAGTACACTCTATATCAATTAGCACTTGATATTGTCATCTTTAAACAATTGATATTTAATTGATTTACATATTATCCTTTATATGTTGTGTGTAAAACTTTACGCGGGAAATAAATGTCATCACAACAAAGAGTATATAAAATACAATGATCACAATAACAATGACGTAAGTTGGTGTTACCAATCTAAAAACCATTAAATAACCCGTAAGTCCAAAAAAATATCAAATGAAGTTGGCTAAATTCGTACCAGTAACAAAACAAGTAGGAGATAAAAATTGAGATTAAATTGTTTTATACATAAACAAAGTTATCTGATCCTTTTGAACATTCTGGGCATAAGTTTCATATAGCAATTAAACTGCTGTTTGCGCACGTCTTAAATGTCTTTGTTTTTAACTCCATAACGAAGATTTGTTTTATGTTTTATGTAAAAGATGGCGCCATAATAAAATATTTTTGAGAGTATTCGTATTTTACGGATCTATAAATCCGTTAAATACGGATGTTGGAATATATTTTTATAATTATTCTCCCTAGGAATCATAATATGATTTATATCGATAAAAAAAATCTAATTGAAAGTTTACAAATGAAGAAATATAAGTTACCAGTATGAATATCAATTGATTGGTTAATTACGCACGAATCGTGCTAGTTCAAACCTAACTGTGCTACGTATGTTGTATGTAACGTGTTGTCGGGCAATGAAACAACATTTCACTGTTACAACATGTCTGTGAAAATTGTCGTATTATATACAGGGTGATTAGAAATGAAGAAAATCACAGATTCCTTTGCTGATAATAGACATTCATCAATATTAGACCAATTCTTTTGTTTGGCGCTAAAGCCAAATAATTTTGCTATTGTGGGATATCTGTTGTCAATTTCTGTAAGTCAAATCAGGCCAATTAAAACGGAATACACTAAAAGAAAATGTTTTGATCTCAGAATAATTATACACATAATTTTAATTGATTGTGAATAAGCAATTCCCCTAATTTTTGAAGTCGATTTACAACCAAAGAGGATTCGATTTAAAGATATTCGAATCGTAAAGAAACGATTTTGATGACTCCTTTATTTTAGGTGTCTAATAAAATGTTATTCGATAGCCTAGTGACCTAGTTAGAACAAGTACTGGATAAAGTATAGAAATAAGAAACAGGACAAGAACAGAGTCAAGAAACGTTTCGTTTCCAATGACGAAACACTTTTATAATAATATCATATAACCTATAGATACCTAATTCGGACCCCAATAGTACCATCCCCGACTTCGTTCAAATTAAAAAAAAACTTAGTAGGTATCCTAAATGTTCTATCAGTCTATGTTCTACATGTGTACCAAATTTAATCAAAATCCGTTTAGCTGTTTTGGAGATACGTCGTAACAAACATCCATCGAAACTTTCGTATATAAGTATGATTTCGGCCATGAAACCCACAGTCCTCCTATCAACAGATTTATCAACTTCTTATGGGTATTACATAAATTACATACATTTTTAATAGATAAATGTAAAAGACAAAGCTTTTGAGCCATTCTTTTTATCAATTTAAAGACATTGTATCAATAGATTACTTATAGTGCTATTCAAATTTTATAGACGCTCGTAGTTTCATAAAAGATGCTTCCCAGAACATAGTTTTAGGTTTCTACGGAACATTACCGGGTGTAGGAAAATTACAGGATTGTTGCCTTAGCTGGCAATGGGAAGAACCGGTTCCTACCTGTATTTGCTAGCTATCCAATATCTTACTAATATTATAAATGCGAATATTTAGTCGGATGGATGGATGTTTGTTTGAATGTATCTTCAGAACGGCTGAACGGATCTCCGTGAAATTTGGCATACATATAGAACATAGTCTTGAAGGACACATACTGAGTATGTTTTTTTTATTCCGCGCGGGACCGAGACGCGTGCGACCGCTAGTCAGACACAAAGTTTGAATATTACAATACCGAATAACTCAGCAATAGAAATAATAGGTCTTTCGAAATAAAATTAATGACATGGTAGATATTGGTACAATACTTTTTTATTATCACAGGTCATGAATGTTAAAGACCTAACGAATAATTATTACTAGATTATTTACACCTTACATGATTAGACCTTAGTTTGAATGCCACTGACGGTGTTATCCTTGCATCCTTATATGTGTTTAATAGCAACATGTCCCCTTTCGCGGAATGATCTACATATTTCTCAGTTTAAGTGTATTCGACTAGACGTAGACTAAACGTTTTGCTTGGAAATAGATCATATAGCAAGCATAGATTATAACAATTTTCTAGTAAAAATAAATATTACTATTATTCGTTTAAAGTTGATATTGATAAATATAATCTTGGCAATCTTACTTCTTACCAATATTATAAATGCGAATGTTTAGATGGATGGATGTTTGTTTGAAGATATCTTCGGAACGGCTGATCCGATCTCGCTAAAATTTGGCATCGATGTAGAATATAGTCTGGAAGAAACATATAGGCTACTAATTAAGTTTTTTTTTTAATACCGTGCGGAAATAATCGCGCGCGACAGTAATTATATAAATTAACTTACTATTTTGTTCTCTTTTCGATGCTTGAGACTTGTTTGTAGTGGTTGATTGTAATCATAAACCAGTATGTATTCTTTGTTAGCGGATGTACGTTGTTTATTGAATTCTTCAGTTATCTAGTAATGAAGGCAAAGTAAAAATTCTTTGTTTATTCGTTAACTATAAAACAAGTTATTCTAATTCGGGCGTGTTGCGATATTAGCTGGTGTTGTCCTCCAAATGAATGGATAAACGTAACCGTCAGTTTTGCCGCCAATTCGTGTATTGTTGTAAAAAAAAATTCAGCGTTAGAGCGCGTGTTTAGAAGCGCGTTTGACGTTTAAAAATTAAATATTTTTTTTGTTTAATCTGTGTAAACGAAATGTAATTATTTTTATAAAATACAATTATTTAAAATTGACTAAAAATGTCTCAATTAAATGGTTTAAATGTGTTTGTGAATAATTTTTTGGGGTTTGTTCAATCATCGAGTTATTTGCCGTGGGTGAGATGGTTGCTGAAATTGATGGCTTTGTCTCAGGCGATAGTACCAGCTGGATGGCCACAGTCTTATCCACTACGAGGTATTTTTTTTTACATGGAACCTATTTGTAGTAAAAAATTCAACTTCGGATATATTTGTTACCTTACGTTAATTCTGTTCCTAGCTGATTTCATTTCAGTTGCAGTGCGTTATTTTCCCGCCAAAAAGGAAAAATAGTAGTTATATTTGAAAAGGAACTTTATTTCAAAGACATTTAATATTCATAGAGATATCTAGCGAATCGACTCTCATGAAAAAATTAAGCGAACTTATTGTATTTCAACAATTTTTTTTAGTCAACATTTCCCTTAAGTCTGTCAATCTGGAACTGGAAAAAATTCTAAGGATATCATTGCAAATTACAGATGGCGATAAATTTGACTTCATTGTGGTGGGCTCAGGCAGTGCGGGGGCCATCGTGGCCGCGCGGCTGAGCGAGGTGCCACACTTCAGGGTCCTGCTACTAGAAGCCGGAGGAGATCCACCGCCAGCTAGTGTGGTACGATCTTTATTTTTGCATTTTTTTACCTATCTAGACTTACCGTATCTTCATTTACCTCCAATTGGCGCTACCCCAGGAGCATTTCTGTAATAAAGTTAATTACATCATTTTACTTATTAAGTTAAAGATTATATTTAACTTGTTCGTGATTTCCTCTTGTTATTTCAGGCTCCGAGTATGTTTGGCACACTTGGTCATACGGAATATGATTGGGACTACAAAGCTTATCTTGATAAAAATATTGGTACAGTACACCCAGACAGAGCAATTTACATGACCCGCGGTAAGATGCTCGGTGGATCATCTTCTAATAATTACGAAGTATACTCGAGAGGAGTTCCCGAAGATTATGATGAATGGGGACAGGTTGCAAGTGGTTGGGATTGGGATTCAGTATTACCATATTTCAAAAAATTCGAAGGTATGAAAGATCCAAATATTATGAGCAATCCAGATCATAAATACTTACATTCCACCGACGGTCCAGTAGCAATAACAAGACCAGAGACAAATAGTTATTTTAGCGAAGTGAACGATATCATTTTGAAGTCATATGAAGAAATGGGAATGAAAAAAAATCTAGAGCTGAATGGACCAGATAATTTGGGTGTAAGTCGACCTCATTTCACATTCGCAAATGGAAGGAGATCAAGCACAGCTGAAGCTTACTTGAGGGGCAAAGAGAAATATAATTTAAAAATAGTTAAATATGCAAGAGTTACTAGATTATTAATAGATGATATAACATCGCGGGTGTATGGAGCTGAAGTGTTTTTTTCTGGGAAAAAGATTAATGTGTTTGCTAATATGGAAGTTATTGTGTCAGCGGGAGCGATTGACAGTCCCAAATTATTAATGTTGTCCGGAATCGGACCGAGAGAGGTCTTGACACCAATCGGCATAAAAGTAATTGTAGATTTACCAGTTGGTAAAAATTTACAGGATCACCACTATACACCGATCGTGTTTACAGGACAACGAGGTTTACAAAGTGTAATGCAAAATTTATTAGTACCCACTGAGTTGGATTCCTATCCAGTACCAATACAATCAGGTTTCTTTAGAGTGGATAAATGGTGTTGTTCTCAAAGGCCACAATTTCAAATATTCAACGTACGCATCGGTGCGACCGCTTCGCCAATAATATTATTTGGATTTCGTGCTATTACTAATTTTGATGAACCTTTTTCGTATTCAATAAGTAAAGCTAATGTTGATCGTGAAATAGATATAACATCTGTTATAAATGTTCATCCGCGTTCGAGAGGCGAAGTCACATTGAAAAGTTCCAATCCATTTGATGATCCGGTTATAAACATGGGTTATTATAGAGATGAGGAAGATATTGAGACGACATATCGTGGTCTGAAGTTCATGTTGCTTTATTCAAATACGACATATTTTAGAAAAGTTGGTGGAAAGATTGCTAAGTTAGATGTTGGGGCTTGTAACCATCTTAAATGGGGATCGGATCAGTATTGGAGATGCTATGTTAGACATGCTGTAGGTTCAAT